TTCTTCCCGTAACCCTTTCATTTCTACCATGAATCTGCTCGTCCTGGGAGCTCTTCTTGTATGGATCAAGGACCTTCTGGGCAACCTCTGAAGGGTGGAATCGGGCATTACGTGCGTTGAGTGGATGTTCATTGTCTGGGGTAACGGATATGACAGGAGGGCAATATTGGGGAAAAGTGATTGAAGGATGAGCGATGGAGCTACTAGGGTAGTTGGGGAGAGCGTGATAAGCGGGTGTATCTAGAGAATATGGAGGATCATCCGGCATTGTGTTGGGAGTTTGGGTAGCCTCCGGGAAAATTGGTGGTGGCGGGGGTGGGGCCTTTCCAGTCATCCAGGCTTGATACATGTTTGTCATGTGTTGTCTCAGCATCCGCACCTCTTCAACCAACCCATTATCCCGTTCCACCAACTGTTGTCGAACATCGGTATCAAGCAACTCAGTTCTGTTGTTCTCTGCCATTGCCTTTTGCCTTTGTGTTGCAGGGAAAAGTTACTTTTAAAACCACAAACCAGCCACCCGTCTGAAATGATATGGCAAAATGAAACCATCACGTTAGCGTTAAGGCATTTAACACATTGGTAACAGCTTTTGATCGGGCGCATGCGTCATCCCGGCTTTTCCTTATTTCCAATTGCAAACTTTTCTTCCTTTGTTTTTCTTCTTTTTCCTTCTTTTTTTCTTTACTCTTGCCTTTGTCTTCTCTCGTTCCTATTTCCTTCCTTTCTTGTGTTTTGTTTTTCCGCTCTTTTTTTCTTTTTGCCTTTTGTGGTTTTTCCTCTCTTTTCTCATTTTTTTTTCTTTTTCTTTTGGTTATGGTCAAATCCTATGGAGATTGCCTACGTATCACGACCCCGCGTGAATCAGAACGAGCGTAGTTCTTGCAGAATAAATGTAAAGTAGAAGCAAAATATTTTTTGGGATTTTCAATTTTATTGATAGAAAATACATCTATTACAAAGACTCAAAACTGACAGATTAAACAACTAACAGACTCTAATGCAGAAAAGAACTACAGACTCCATCCTCCCTATTCTTCTTTAAATGAAAATACAGACTTAATCAACTGACTGACTTTTACAGACTCCAGTAGAAAAGGAAATACGGACTCAGAAGACAATCATGAATACATTAAAGCTCCTGGCGCCCGCGGGACATCATTCGGTCTCGCCGCGGGCCTATATGCAAGTTCCCCTTATTTCGAATCGTGCTCATCCTGCACATTTATTAAGGTGATTTAATCACTTATTTTGACCTAAAAGGAAAAGAAAAAAAAATGACACTATTTTTGTTCAAATTTCCAATTTTAAAACAAACGGCCGGTTTTGCAGTTACGGCCTTTCAGCACTTCAGGGAGAAGATTTTAAGGCTGTGTCTGTTAACTGTTGAACTGACTCAGGGTGGCTGTTCTTGCAAAAACAGCCTTCCGGCGCCCTTTTGGGGACATTCGGCTTAGTTTAAACAAGAATGGCGGCACCCGACTTATTCATGACGAAATTAAAAAATTTGGCATTTTTGGCTATTTTTGAAAAGGGGAGGTTGGACCCGATGAGGGTTGCCTACGTATCTCACATCCGGTGAGAATCAAACCAGCGTAGTTCGGGCAAAAAAATCTAACTATTTTTGAAAACAAGACTCTTTTTTTTTTGTTGGCAAATACACTATTTCTGAAAGCAGGATTCTTTTTTTTTTATATTTTCTTTTTCAGTGGCAAATAAAATAAACTAATTTGAAAATAAAACTCTTTTTGTTTTTCTTTTCCATTGGCAAACTAAAAAGAACTTTTCTTCTATTTTTTTTTCATTTTCTCAAAACTTCGGCAGCATTTCGGCACTACTTGGACATTGGTTTTTCTAATATAGGAAATTAACTCTCTACACTGCTATTTTCTCTTTTCCCCTTTTGTTTTTCAATTTTTCAGATATTCAAAGCCGGTCAACATGCGAGTCCAAGACAGATAAATGCACAAGTAGGATGCATCAGGATGGTCCATTATTCCGGGTACACCTGTCCTAGACGGACCCAACCCCTGTGTTGAGTCCCCTAAGTCAAAATGCACATGATGCAAATAAACGTTCCTACTAGGGATCCGGCATGAAGTCAAGTTCTTCTAGGTTCAGAACCTGGGTATGTGTTCTAGATTGTGTACCCGAGCGGACAACTCGAGTCGAGGAGGGGGCTACGTACCGGGAACCGAAAGGCCATCCGGCTTAGTAACTTGTCCGGCCTCTTCCTTATTTCAGGGTATTGACACTAACAGAATAGGGAGTCTCAACCAGTAAGCACATCCCCGGAGGTGAGAAGAGAAGGGTTTCGGCACAGTTTCTATACAGTTCAGATAATATCAAAGTGGTAAAAAGCAACATTCTGCACATTTAGCATGAAACATGTAGGAAAATCAGATAAAGCCAAATACAACAATATATCTAAGCTCGAATTCTGAACCCTGAACCAAAGTTCTGGGTTCTTTTCCCCAGCAGAGTCCCCAGAGCTGTCACACCTCCTTTTTACTACACCCGCAAGGGTATAAAGGAGTTTTTCCAATTAAAGGACAATCAGAACGGGATTTATTATTAATATTCAGAGTCGCCACTTGGGAGATTAATGGTGTCCCAAGTCACCGGTTGAATCCCGATCCGAGGAGATCATGACTCTGTTAACAGTCCGCGAACCAGAACTCCGAGTAAGGAATTCTGTTAACCCGAGAGAAGGTGTTAGGCATTCCCGGATTCCGTGGTTCTAGCACGGTCGCTCAACTGTTGTATTTGCTTTTATCTGATTTTTAAACATATACTAACCTATGTGCCTTTTATTTTATGTCTTTTTAATAAGAATTGCAACGTCGTGAAAATGTGTCTCGAACCACGTCACACCAGTGCGCCCGTGGCTTTTGACACATTCCGACTTCGTTGAGATTTAGATTTGGGTCACATAAATGTGCACCCACATTTAGGAAGGTAATATTATTAAAATACGCGCCCTAAGCAACTACGCATTCATTATCTTTGAGGAGGACCGTGAAATTTTCTAAAACGGTCTGCCCGAATTCTAAGTATTTTTATGTAACATTTATTGAGGGCCCCGCGATTTATGTGTTTTATTTAGCGAGGCTAGGCTCATTATTTTATCAAAAGGGCAGCCTAAAAACGGACTACGATTCTCTATTTTTGTATTAAAAGAACATTAGGTGTTACCAACTCAATTGCAGTTGGCCCAAGAGCCCAATCCAAGTGGTCTGCCACACCTAAACCCATCAGACCTCAAATAGGAGATCCTGGGGTCGATTTCCTGAGTCGAGTGTACCAAGGCCCGTTTAGTTTTACCTTATTCGAGATCGCTGAACACTACTGCATGCTTAACAACTATCATTTCTAACTATTAACCCGTTGGAAACATTTACAGTACGCTTTCAAACTCAGACAAATTCACGCTATGATTATACGAAATCAGTAATCCATTGCCAATCAAAAACAGCCTGATTTTCCATTTTTTCAAAACTATATGAAAGAGCAACCAATGAGAGATTATGCCAAGCTACCATTAACAAACAACATGTTGACAGAATAAAACAGTCTCAATTAGCACAATGATAGATTAATGTTTCAGTTATGCTTATTAACTACATAACTACTACAAACTATCTACAAATTAGCAATCAGCAGAGGCGAACTTCAATGCATAAATTCGATGGAATTTCTTCATTGTACTTCCAATTCAACAGTTACATCAAATCAGTTTCGGATGTGTACCTGGAATTTGCAAAGGAAACAAGAAGAAAAGAGTCAGCAGTAGCACAACAAGGCAACAACAATGGAGTTAGCCCAGGAATAACTAAAATAACTAGCCGGATACAGATTTGGACAGCAGAACTATCAAATGACCCTCAGCAATCAATCAGGCAACCAATGCAAGGGTAGATTGAACTCAAAAATACCAGAGATCTCAACAAACACCAACGGCAATAACGAATAACCCACAACAACCACTTAAGCCTCAAATACTACTCGAAATGCAAACAAACATCCTCGAAAGCAAACTTAATTTCTCCTGGAGCTTTAATGAAACAGAAGTCGACCAAAATCCAACCCCAGACCAGCTTGAAATAACCAAAACCAACGGCAAACTACAGTCACACTCAGAGAAACTCAGTAAACAGAGGAGAAGAGAACTGGTACAAATTTGGGCTAACATCAATGTAACAGTATTTATAATTTTGATTTTTTTGCAGATTTTTGTTGTTTTTGGTTCCTTATTTTTTTTAATTTCTACTTTCAAATCTGGGAACGAAGAGTACTTTTGGGAGGGGGGGGGAGTTTACCCTCCCAACTTGTGATCAAGGCAAATGAATGCCTATTTATAGGTGAACTTAGGGTCCAATTCAGATTTCCCTTTACCCATTAGTCCCTGTTTTAATTCTATTTTTTATCCTTTATTTCTGACTTGTCACACAAGTAACTACCCTAAGTTTACTGAAATCTGCACTATAGTCCATCCTAGAAGGTTCTATGCCCATTATAATTCCTATTTCTACCCTTACTTTACCTCAACAATTACCAAATCTGATTAAACTACCCTTTTCCATGCCTAAAACTACCCTTAGCATCCCCTGAAATTACTGAAACAAGTTAAACTAGTCCATCAGCCATAACCAAACAATCTATGTCTAGGGCTAATCAAACTAGACAAATCAGTTAATCAAAGAGGTTGGAACAATTAAGACCAAAATTGCAGTAAACAACTAGGAGTCGACTAACTGAACCTAAAAATCAGACCACTTAAACGTATATGACTACTTGGGAACAATATTGTCATGAAGAACAACACTTGAAGCTAGATCCTGAACATGGATTACTAACGCAATTACTGAATCAAACTAGACTAAACTAATTAATTATCACTAACCAATAATAACAGTAACGAATCAAATACTGAAGAAAAAAATTGAAATCAAAAGTGCCCTAAAGAATTAAAGAATTATCCAAACAGATTTAAACAAGAGCATACTGAACAGAATTAAAACAGAATTGAAACAACTTACTAATTTTGAGCATTCGACTGACTATGGGGCGAACTCTGACCAGCTAATGTTTTGAATCCTCCGGGATTCTTGACACGTAACATCCCTAATCGTGTGTTTTCAAAAAAAACACGTGATTGGGGAAATTACGGTCCAAAATCCCCAAGATTTCTGAGTTAGGGTTCTGCCGGACTTTGGGATTTTTAAAATTGTAACGCCCGATTCAGATTTGAGACAAGTGGCTATGGGGGTTGGGTAGAGGAGACTCAGATGAACCTAGGGTGTTAATTTGAGACTATTTGGCATACTTTGGGTCTTGGCCGGAAAATATTCAGACTGAGATTCGACCAATTCGAGGCAGATTCGAGAAAAACCAACCGGGGATTTGGATAGTGGGAGGGGAAAGGGACCTAGGGTGTTAATTTGGACCGGTTTGGGAGAAGCGGTGTCATGGCCGGGAAAGTTTAGATGGAATATTCGACGAGATTGGCTATGATTCGAGGGGAGCTGAGGGCATGGTTGGAAAGAGGGGAGAACAGTGGTTCTAGGGTGTAATTTTTGTGGTCATCGGAGCATCGCCGCCGCCGGCGGCGATTTCCGGCCGCGGCGCTAGGGCGGAAGACGGTGGCGGACGGTGGGGTGTCGATGGCATTACAGGGAGTACGAGGAAGACGGATTGTGTTTTTGTTTTTTGTATAATTTTCGGACAGTTTTATTTAAATTTGAGGATCAATCGTGGCCATTGGATTTGGGGAAACGGACAGTCATGATTAAACGACGTCAAAACAACGTCGTTTTGAGTATGGGGCAACTGGACCGGGCAGGGCGTTTGGGCCAGTGGCTTGGGCTGGGTGAAGTCAATTAAATGGCCCAATTAGGCATTATTGAGGCAGCCCCTTTTAATTGCTTTTGTTTTCATTTTTATTTCTTTTATTTATTTTTGTATTTCCTTTTGTATTATTTTTTTTCTGATTTTATAAAAATGCAAAAATTAAAATGAAACCTAATTTATTTCCAAAATTAAGCTAATTAATTCCTATTTAAAATAAACTCAAGACAAATTCAACAACTAACAATTAAAAAAATGCAAAAATGGACTATTTTTGTTATTTTCTTTAAATTTTGTTCTAAAAACAACTTAACCACTAAATAATCCTTAAATATGAAATTAGATCCTAAATGCAAATGTCAGGCATATTTTTTATATTTTTCATATGAAATAAAAATGCACAAATAAAAATGCAAACAATTAACAGAAAATAACACAAAATTCACAAAAGTGTAAAATAATGAAAGAGAAATTATTTTGTTTGAATTTTTGGGAATAATTCATATATAGGGCAAAAATCACGTGCTCGCAGCTGGGACTGGCTCGGGCCTGGTCGGCTGGACTGACCGCTGAAGGCACCCCGTGTAGTAGGTGCACTAGAAAGTGGCTGAGCAAAGTGTGCAACTTGAGACCTCGGAACAACCAGAGCACCACTAAAAGCTGAAGTGCTGAATGAACTGGACGGCTCACACAGCCTTTACCATGACGAACTGTAGCTGCATCATGACCAACACTAAATCCTCCCGTACCTCGAGGCTTCTTGGCCTCCCTATCATCTCTCTCACGACCCTACATACCCTCCAACCTCCATACAATATCAACCACCTGCTGATATGGAGTACCTGTCTCCAACTCTCTAGCCATGCTGAATCTAATACCATATTTGAGCCCCTCGATAAATCGACGAACTTGCTCTCTACCTGTAGAAACCAAGGTAGGTGCATATCTGGACAAATCACCGAATCAAACAGCATACACTGACACTGTCATAGTACCCTGGCGTAACTATTCAAACTCTGCACACCATGCATCCCAAAGGTTCAAAGGAACAAAGTCTCTCAAGATTAACTATGAAAATTGAGTCTATGTAAGTGAAGCTACCTTGGCTGGGCTACCCTCCTTGTACACTCGCCACCACTGATATGGCGCTTTGGATAGCTGGAAGGTAGTAATATCAACCCCACTCGTCTCCACAATACCCATAGTGAGGAGAATACGGTGGCACTCCTTAAGAAAGCCATGTGCATCCTCTAAAGCTAATCCACTAAAAGTAGGAGGGTGGTACTTCTTTAACCTCACGAGCCAAAGTTGCTCCTCCTCAGATGCTGTTGCCCAAACCACGGGCTGAATCGGAGCAACAGACCGTACCGGTATAACCTCTGGGACATGATCAACCTGGACCCACTTCTTTGGGGTACGGGCCGTACCAGCCTGAGATGTGGCTGGTGCAAATGGGATCAACCCCGCCTGAGCTAAGGTACTGAACATGCCGAGGAACTGTGCAAGGGTCTCCTGAAGTGGTGTGGTAGCAACAGGCACCTCGGGTGACTGTCCCCCAATGGGAGCTATTGGTGGCTCCTCTGTCGCAACTCGAGCAGGTGCTTTGGCTGCACCACGTGCCCCTCCTCAGCCTCTGCCCTGGCCCTGGCCTCCCGCGGCTCTAGCAGGGGGCGCGAGTATCTGATAGTCGAATCCAGCAGTGCGTGTCCTCACCATCTGTGAGACAATAGAAAGTCAAAGATCCAGTTTTAGAAGTCAACCAATTCGCACGATAAGGAATCAAATAAGTGAAATTTTCCTAACAGTTTTGTAGCCTCTCTAAGATAAGCACATACGTCTCCGTATCGATCTGCAAGACTCTACTAAACCTGTTTATGACTCGTAACACCTTAGAGAAAATTATCAATTAGGTGGTAGAATAAGTGTTAACAAAATCATTTAAGGCATGTAAGGATAGACTAACACAAGTAGGAATGGATTTACTATGAGAATTAGAACATGATATGGAATTTCAACTAAAGCATGGAACTAGTCTAAGCAATCTAAACCAGACAATTACCACGTACAACTCGTGTACCCACTCGTCACCTTGTGTACACAGATTTCACTTAGCATATTTGAATCAAACAATACCAATTCTAAGCGATAATTCCCCTACACAAAGTTAGGCAAGTCACCTCGCTCAACTAGGCCAAACAACACTCAGAAATAGCTTTCCCCTTGAAATTTGCCTCCACATGGCTGAAATCTAACCAAAATCGACTTAATATCATCAGAAAATGCTAAGGAATTCAATTGGAATAGATAAAGCTAAGATCTTTATACCTTTCCTAAAGAGTCAACAAAAGTCAAAATGGGGCTCGCTCGGTCAAAATCCAGGTCCAATGGTATATTCTGTCTACACATGAACCCACAAGTTCATATATGTGATTAGTCTCAAAATCCGAGTCCAAATCAGCTCTCAAAACTAAATTTCTCATTTTCGAAAAGTTAACAAAGTTTCACAAATTTTCACATTGATTCACATGATTTTGATGTTAAAATCTAAGATATGTTGACGGAATACAATTAGAATCACTTACCCAAAGTTTGTAGGTAAAAATCCCCTCTCCAAGTCACCTCCTACCCAGTCTAGGGTTCAAAAATGAGAGAATGAGTTCAAAAATTCCGTCTCCCAGCCCTTTAACCAACTGGAGATGTCACATTTGCGACACAGGGTTTGCATTTACGAGAAAAAGCTTCGCAATTGCGAAGCTAGGAGTTTGGCAAATGCGAACAAATGATCGCAATTGTGAACCAAGAAAAAATCCTACTATCTTCGCAAATGCGAAGGGTGAGTCGCATTTGCGACAACTGCCCCTCCTCTGTCACCTTCGCATATGCAACACTGGTGTTCGCATTTGCGACACCAGAGCACCAGACACCGGATTTTTCCATTTTTAGTCCAAACCACTCCGGAGCATGTCCGAAACTCATCCGATCCCTCTGGGCCCCAAACCAAACATCCACACAAGTCTAATAATATCATACAAACTCGCTCGCGTGATCAAAACACAAAAATAACATCTAAA